GAAAATAAAGCACCAGGAGGCAGGTGGGAAACCCCGGGCAGGTGCGTGCTGGTCAGGCCTCACTGACACGCTGACACTTGAGCAGACACTGAGGAGGCAGAGTGGGCTCTGCTGGCACCTAGAGAAGGGAATGCCAGGCAGAGGGAACGAGTGCGAAGGCCCTGAGGCAGTGTGGCTGGAGCAGCGTGAGCGAGGAGAAAAGGGGCGGCCGAGGGTCAGGAGGTCAGTGTAAGGCAGCGGTTCTCAACCTGTGGGTCGCGACCCCTTTGTCGGTCGAACGACCCTTTCACAGGGGTCGCCTAAGACCATCCTGCATATCAGATATTTACATTACGATTCATAACAGTAGCAACATTACAGTTATGAAGTAGCAACGAAAATAATTTTATGGTTGGGTCACAACATGAGGAACTATTTAAAGGGCCAGAAGGTTGAGAACCACTGGTAAGGACTGTAGCCTTGACTCCAAGTGAGGTGGGTGGGAGCCATTGGAAGATTCTGAGCAGAGAAGTCACATGACCTAAGTAACGATTCTCTCCGGCTGCTCTGTTGAGAACAGATCGTAGGACGTCAAGCGTAGGAGCAAGGAGACCAATGAGGAGGTTCAAGGTTGGGAGAGAAAGAAATCAGTCAAAGAAGACATCCAACATTCTGGCCAGAGCAGTGGGGGGGAGGCAGGAAGACCTGGGGGAGGCAGGGAGCGGGTGTTTGCTTTAGGAGCTGAGCTGCTGTTGGAGTGGACTTCCCGGTGGGGGTGGGGCAGGCAGTGTGGGTGCTCACGTCTGGAGTTCAGAGAGGTCCGGGTGTACAGGGAGTCATGGGCACTAGATGGTGTTTCGCACCCGAGACGAGGTGAGACCACCCAGGTCTGCATGTAGATAGGGAAGAGTCCCCCCAAGCCCCGGGAACCACAACATTCAGAAACCAGGAGACTGAGGGAGTGACCAGTGGGGTGTCCTAGAAGTCACGGGAGGAGTTCGGGGAAGAGGGTAACCCACCGGGTGGGAGGCTGCGAGAGGCCACAGGGAGTGGGTGTGGTCATCCCTAAGTTCAGGGCCCTGGAGACCGACAAGAACGGTTTCCATGGAGAGATCAGGAGGGAAAGAAACAGAGATACGGTGCAAACAGGAAGCAGAGCAATGAGGAGAGCACCTCACCTTGCAGGGGGCAGGGGCAGTGCCCACGGGGCATCTTCTGCCTGAAGGCCCTGCCGAAGAAAGGGCCGCACACCAGGGCTTGCCGCTGGGTCTTGATGTACTGGAGCAGCTCGTACAGGACGTCACCTGGGGGGCGGGAGGGGCTGCTGACCAGGCTGCGTGGGCGCTGCCTCATCCCCTGCAGCCACCGGCCTCGTGGGGGCATGTCCCGCACAGGCTGCGTGCTGATGGGGATGGTAGGGGAGACGGGGCCACAGATGGGAGGGGTCAGTGCTCGGCAGGACAGACGCCTGCCTGCGGCTCTGAAATCAACCGCCAAATGGAGTCCTTTGCTGCAGGCCAGCCCGGGCTGGGAGCCGCCTGGCAAACATTTATGGAAAGAGGGGCGGGCGGCCTCGGTGCTGGGAGTGAGCATGACCTCCCAACCAACGCCCCTCCACCTCCCGCCGGGCCTCCGTGGGCTTCCAGGGGGTTAGAGAAAGCCAGAGAGTTTGCAGACCTGAGCCGGGCGCGCGGAGCCGGAAGTCGTCCTTGGTGAGGATGCAGAGCGCGCGGCCGTTCATCTCGAAGCCGCGCTCCCGGGTGCGCTGCAGGGAGTACTCGCGCTCGGCCCAGCGCAGCCAGTGCAGCACGTCCTCTCGGCTCCAGAGCGCGGGCTGGATCCCTGCAACACAGGACGCGGGCTGGGGGTGGGCCCTCGCTTAAATGCCACCTCCTC